CGACACAATAATTAAAAAAAATGATAAAGTAACAGAAACAAACTTCTCGTTATTGATTATATTGAAAAGTTTAAAAAATAAAATAAAATGTCTGAATATCTATAATCGTTGAAAAACCTCTTTGTAGACAACATTTTTTGTTTTATTGGTTGAACGACCTTCCTCGTCACATATGAGTACCTTCAAGCCTTTTTTATTTGTCACGCGAGAAACAACTACATATAACTGACCATGAGTGAAGACGGGTCTACGCAAATACAATCTGACAGTTGGTAATGATTGTCATTGACTCTTGTTAATGGTCATAGCAAAACAAACATCTACGGAGAATTGTCTCCGCTGAAAACGGAAGGGGATTCTTTTATCAGACGGAGTTAACTTCATGCGAGGTATATAAGTAGTCTAATTGAAGAATCTACTAACTATAATTCATGCATCAATGACATGTTTTCCAAGTCTAACAATTTGTACCCTAGTATCATCGCATAAACCTTCGGTTTGGTAGATATTACAAAGCAACATGACCGGAACACCTATTTTTACTGTAAGTTTATGGTTGGGAATTCCAAATGCCTTAAAAGCATTCAATACATCAAGAGAGTAAACTAATTCCTCAAAACAATCTGCTGACTCTGTCTCACATAAAGAACCTGAACTCAAATAAGTTTTTCCTCCATCTTTCATCAATCCTAACATGTAGTCATTGATAGCATCGACCTCTTCATTTGTAGGGACCAAAATAGCTTTATATTGAAAATATGATGGATCATCAAGATGGTTTTCAAAACACGGATAAATTGTCGATACAATTGAATGAATATGGTCACTTATAGAGCGAACCATAACGTCTTCTAGAAATTCAACTTCAACTTCACTATCATTAGGACCACCAATATTACTTTCACCAATTTTAAGAATCCATTCAAGAAATGCTTTGGTCTCATCCAAATCATTAGTTGGACAACCAACCTGAAGCCTCATTAAATAGGATATTAAAGGAAAAAATGACTTATACAAATTAAATATTATAGACATATATGTATTAAAAAATTAATGATAACAATTAATATATAGGGAAATTAAAATTGATGTTATATGATTCAAGATGTGGAGGTAAATATAATATAAAAGAAATTAAGAATAAGTTATCTTGACTGGTTATTTGTGAAAGTGGCGACCTTGACGAAATAATGTGGATTGCACATTCGGGTATGATGTTATGAGACGGGGATGCTGAAGGTAATTCGGTAAGGTTTCGCATAACACGATAATTAGGGGGTGTGAAGAAATTATTTTCTGAAATGAAAATCCGTATCATAAATGGGGGAAATATATTAAAAAATATATTAATAGTACAATACAAAGAAAAAAAAGATTTATGTCTTATATAACGTATTCATCAACTACACTTTTAGATGACAGTTCCATTAGCCTCCTATTCTTTTTCTTTTATTCATCAGTTACTATTAAAATACAAAAAAATTATATGACATCATTTTATTCCATGAAATCCAATCAATTATAAAATTATGAGAAAACAATATTACTTGCCACAGTAAATGGTCAAATGTGAGGTGTTGATTAGAAAAAAAAATAGTGATCACTAAATGGAAACGAACATCTGCATATATTTAACAAAAACAAAAAAATAAAAATAAAAAAACAGAAAAAATAAGTTAAAGTAAGTAAATAGCAAATATGTCAAGCTGACAACAGTCAATAACTTACAAGAGTATTACAAATAAAAAAACAGAATAACATTATATTTATGATTCAGAAGTACACTACTATTCTTTTATAGGGACAAACATATCAAATTGATAGCAGTCAATAATTTAGAACAACAATACAAATATAAAAAATTGACAACAGTCGATATTTTAGAAGAGCAATACAAATGAAAAAATAGAATAACATTGTATTTTTGATTCAGAAGTACACTGCTATTCTTTTGTATGGCCAAATATGTCAAATTGATAGCACTCAAAAATTTAGACAATACAAATATATGAACATAATAAAAATGTAATTATGGTTCAGAAGTATATCAATATTATGTTCATTTGTAGAAAATAAAAGTATCCTACTATGAAAGGATAAAAAATTATTTTCCAGATTTTCCCTTTGCATTAATAGTACCGAACGCCGCATTATCGATTTTCCATATAGGAAAAAGTATGTGAAATTGAAATTCTTTTTAATTCAGAAGTTTTAATTTAAACAAAAAAAATAACAACATTGACAGAGACATTAAATAGTAGGAGGAAAATGAATAAAATAAAAGTAAATGTTTTATTGGAAACACATCTATTGAAATAACTAATTAGATTAATTAATGTGAAGATTAAGGTTTGAGTTCATGAAAGTATGCAGTGATTTGATAACAGGAATTGAAAGTGTGAAACAGAAAATGGCAAGGCATAGAAGTACATACCGTTGATCGTCGATGACAAGGCTGGAAAAGTTTTTTCTCTATTTTTCTGCAAAGGAAGTATGTCAACTGTTCCTGCGTAAATCGAAGAATAAAAATGTTAGAATTATGTATTATGTATAGAAGATATATAACGATGAGAAAGAGGAAGTAAATAAATTGAAATGTATTTTAAATTTAAATTTGAAATAGTAGATAAGATACCTTATAAGTTCCTTTTTTGCAGAGATATCATTTGACCTATGAAAAACAGTTTACTGTGTATAATATCAATTAGAATTAATTAGACGGATTAATATGGTAAGAAATTAAATATTACAAAACGTGAATAAAGATTCTATAATTAAGCTGCTGATTTTATGGGATTTGATATAATCTATATTATGGAAATTCAACAGGTATTAAAGGTAACACCGTAAGTTACCTTTAGACATGGTAACGATTGATGGAAAAAAACGTTTTTACCAAAACTTTGGTAGGTGATGTCACAAAGTGATCTGAGGGTGGAAAACCTATTATCGAAAGACAATCAAGGGCCCTGATTGTTTAAGATGATGTTATAAGGTTTCTCTTTTAATAATATTTACAGATTAGAGATGTGAAGTTTTAGCTATTTTTTGGCAATAAGGAAATTAGCCATATTTGAGTTTTTTCATATAAAAAAATTGAATGTGATATTTGTTTATAACAACAAAAATAATTGAAAGTCGTAATAGTAATCCAAAATGGAGTTGACCAATATTTAAATCTTGCAAGTTCAATCTTTTAAAAAAAATTAAACACCGAAATACTTCATGACTAAAAGTTGCATATAATTTATAGTTTTTTTTACAGTATTATCTAGTAAAAAATTATATATTCTATCAAAAACATACATATCCTACTATGAGGGGATAAAAAATTGTTTTCCAGATTTTCCCTTTGCATGAATAGTACCGAATGTTGCATTATGGATTTTCCATAAAGGCAAAAGTGTGTGAAATTTAAACTCTTTTTAATTCAGAAGTTTTAATTTAAACAAAAACAATAACAACATTAACAGAGACATTAAATAGTAGAAGGAAAACGAATAAACTCAAAGTAAATGGTTTTATTGGAAACACATCTATTTAAATAACTAATTAGATTAATGTGAAGATTGATGTTTGAGTTCATGAAAGTATGCAGTGATTTGATAAGAGGAATTGAAAGCGTGAAATAGAAAATGATAAGGCATATAAATACATACCGTTGATCGTCGATGACAAGGCTGGATAAATTTTTACTCTATTTTATTTTTCTGCAGAGGAAGTATGTCAACTGTTCCTGCGTAAATCGAAGAATAAAAATGTTAGAATTATGTATTATGTATAGAAGATATATAACGATGAAAAAAAGGAGGTAAATAAATTGAAATGTATTTTAAATTTAAATTTGAAATAGAAGATAAGATACCTTATAAGTTCCTTTTTTACAGAGATATCATTTGATTAATGAATTTTTTTTACTATGTATAAGATCAATTATAATCAATTAGAATGATTAATATGGTAAGAAATTAAATATTACAAAACGTGAATAAAGATTCTTCAATTAAGCTGCTGATTTTATGCGATTTGATATAATATTTATTATGAAAATTCAACGTATATTAAGGGTAACACCGTAAATAACCTTTAGACATGGTAATGATTGATGGAAAAAAGAGTTTTTACAAAAACTTTTGTAGGTGATGTCACAAACTGATCTAAGGGTAAAAAACCTATGATCGAAATACAATCAAGGGTCCTGATTGTTTGATGTCATAAAGTTTATCTTTTAATAATATTTAGATATTTCCAGAATTGCCCTTAAAAGTTTTATATTTATCTTTTTTAAACAATTGTCTTTTTATGTAATTTTATATATTTCAAAAGTTTTTATATACTTTTTTCGAACACTCATATAATAAATAAAATCTATAGAACTACTAACTACCCGCTATTAACTTCTAGCTTCCAGCCACCGATCACCAGTTATCAGCTAGTTATATCAAATGTTTATGACAATTGTGCGATTGTAGATCACACATTTACTAATTTAAGTTAGTTTGTACTTCATGCATTCAGGGACGGTTCCACTATGGTGCCCATAGTGGCACCGGCAACCCCTTATTTTTTCGGATACAGTGTAAAAATTTTCGAATTTTTCGAATTTTTCGTTTTTTCTACTTTTGTGCCACTACGTAAAAGGAAAAATGTGTCACCGGCAACACCTACTACGAAATCCTGAGTCCGTCCCTGCATGCATTATAAGTTGTACATTGCCAAATCGGTACTAAAACTATATTTGTACCGAATACTCAAACCCGGTACCCGAACCAAACCGATATTGTATGCCCTCTACCGTTTTAGTATTCGGACTTTGTTTTTGGACATATTCAGTTTAAATATTTTACGGTTTTGTTCGGGTCTGGTTCGGGTCGGTTTCAATACCAAGGTCACCCCTAAATAAAACTACATTAGTCGCTCTTCTTCCTCAGCAATTTTCCATATATAAGGCGCTTATTCTTCTAATAAATTCTTGCTCTGTCTGCTCTGTCCCGGTGAAAATGGCCCTAAATATACGTACAGTCTTTCTGTACGTATTGGCATCCATCGTCTTCCTCGCTTCCGTCTATCATATCCTCATACCAACCGCCTCCATCTCCTCCGATCGCCGCCATTCCCCATCTTTCAACCCCCAACTCTACATTCCAAACCCTCGCCTCCGACCTTACGTCGACAATAACCTAATCATTCACGAGCATGACGCGGTTACCCCCGCCGCCACCAACGATACTCGAACAGTTCCAGAAGAAAGCACAAACTCGGTTGGATTCATTGCGGATGATACGATTCAGTTTAAACCACAAATTCCTCAGAGTCGGAACATCTCGACTGAAATTGAAGGTACTGTTCTATCTAACACCACCATCGTTACCAATGTTGATTCTGTTTTCGAAGAAACTGGGAGCAAGAATAATTCGCTCCATGTGTATCTGAACTCTGAATCATCGATTATGAATGTTTCGATTTTGTTTCCTTCTTGGGAGGTGCTCGTGATTGTATCGTTGGAGTTCGGAGATGATACAGATTATACATCCTATTTTTGTTTATTTGACACAAATGAGATATCTCCGGCTAGATTTTCGGGAACGTTGACGTCTCCGGATCGGAAAACTTTCACTTGCCAGCTCCCGATGCGAATCCGTCGAAGACTACCGTTCCGTCACCCAAGGCTGATAAAAACTTCAGATCAGGCTAAAATGACGTCCAATCCGTTGCAATCGCCGTCATCGGAGCTCCTCCGATGGAACTTCATCGTCTACAACATCATCGAAACGGAGAACGACATCGTTTTATTCGCGAAAGGCATCAACAATCGCCAAGGAATCAACAGAAGCCCAACAGAATTCAAATGCCTTTTCGGTGACAATACTGTAAACGGCGTTACAACTTCCGTTACTAGTTCAATGCAAGAAGTCTTCAGATGTCAACGCCCTGATTTAACGGCGTTTAGTCAGAATCCAGTCATAGCCTCTCTCGTAATCCTACAAACTAACCAGGTCGTCCCATCTATAGCATTCTACGCACCAGAGCGCAAGGTAGCAATAGCCAGCCCCAAAAAGTCGCTATTGTGCGCATGTACCATGGTCTACAATGTAGCCAAGTTCTTAAAAGAATGGGTGATGTACCATTCCAAAATCGGGGTTGACAAATTCATTTTATATGACAACGGTAGTGATGATGATTTGGGCAAAATCGTAAATTTGTTAAAATCAAAAGGGTACAATATTGAGACTCGTTTTTGGCTATGGCCGAAAACTCAAGAAGCAGGTTTTTCACACGCAGTATTGCTTGAGAAAAACTCATGTCATTGGATGATGTACATTGACATAGACGAATTCATCTACTCTCCATTATGGGCTTCATCACCACCTTCAAAATTACTGTTACCCTCACTGCTACCATCACGTCCATACGGACAGATCATGATCCGCTGTTTAGAATTTGGTCCCTCGAATCTAAAGAAACACCCGTCAATGGGTGTAACACAAGGTTACACTTGTAGAAAAGAAATGGAAAATAGACACAAATCAATTGTTTTGCTTGATGCGATTGATGAATCTTTATTAAACGCGATTCATCATTTTAAACTGAAAGAAAGGTATAAGAGTATAAAAGTACATCTTGACACTGTTGTTGTCAACCATTATAAATTTCAGGCGTGGCCTGAGTTTAAGGCAAAGTTTAGAAGAAGGGTGTCTGCTTATGTGGTGGATTGGACGCGATCGGTGAATTTACAGTCGAATGATCGGACGCCTGGACTTGGGTACCGTGCAGTTGAGCCGGAAGGATGGGCGGAGAGGTTTTGTGAAGTGTATGATCATAGGCTAAAAGATTTGACAAGAAGATGGTTTGGAAGACGAGATGATAGAATGATATTTCGTATGGAATGGCAAAAATGAAATAAAAGTGTAGAAAATATGAATAGGAGTTGTGACATGGTATAACAATATTATAACAAGCTAAGTAAATGGTAAAGGTTGTTGACTATTGTTGACTTTTTCACAATTTTGTTTGACTGTATGGGCTTCTTGCTGTAAAAAGTTATTTTAGTGATATTGAGAGATAAATGCACATATAATCATTTAATTATTGGTTATTTACAGAAATGATTGTCGTGTAAGAAATAGAAGATAGTGTCGTGTAAGAAACATAAGATATTGTATTATCATTATTTTGCACCAACGACCATCCATGTGTATTTTTCTTTCTTGATCAAGATGTAAATGATTTTTATTGTCATTATTTTTCGTCTCACAGTAAATTTTAAAACGACTTTCATGATGAATATGCCGAGTTAGCGACTTTTAATAAAGTAACGTTTTGGAAATGTGAATGATTTTACGATCAATTTGCATCATTTATACAACCAAATAAAGAATGAAACAAAATTGTGAATTTTAATCTTAATAGCTTATCAACAACAAACGAGTAGGACTTTTTTTTTCAACTTTTTTTTTTTAACCAGCAAATATATTAAATAAGAAGAGGGCCAGCCTAGCAAGGGGCTAGCGGCAACCCACCAGAAAGAGTACAAAATAAGAATACAAATAGTCATTTTAAATACAGGAGAAAGGGCAAACAATCCAATCCCACCAATTACAAACTCTTTTCTTTCGCCAAACTGTAGTTTATCCGGTTCCAAAAAGACATGTTTGAGATCTATCTAGCTATAGCAAACTCGCACCACCGAATAATTTTCTTTTTAATTCGAGTTTTTTTTTATAAAAGCTAACATCTATTAAAAGTTCGTTGTTGACAACACCCGTCATTTTCTTAACTTTTAGGTGTTGTTTGTTTTTTGTCTGCAGATCTTCTTGGCATCTTCTTTTTGCTCAGCGCAGACCACGCACAGACATTAGGTTTCGCAAACTGTTTGATTTTTTGATGACTGAAGACCTAAAAAGGGTTATGCGTCCTCTTGTTGGTGCAGATGTGAACCAGAGTCTGCAAACCTCTTCAGACATCTTCTAGACTAAAAAACACACATATATATATATATATATATATATATATATATATATATATATATATATATATATAAACTTAGATTTATTCTAACTTTATCTATGATTAACAATTTTGAAAAAAAAAGTTACAATACTTAAAGAAAAGAGGTTCGACGACACAGTCATGATTTTTGTGACAAATTTACAAATAAAAATTTAATTACAATAATGGTCGTTAGAGCTGTTTATATAAATATAAAAAAAAATCGTAATATTGTCATATGTTTTTTGTGCCAAATTTTATAAAACATTATTTAATGAAATATCATTCTTTTCTTAGGATAAATATTTATAGCCAGTTTTTAATTGATTTAATTAAAAAGGTAAAATGAAAATTTTAAAATTTTCATTTAAAATCAAAATTTATTTTCATCCATTTTACGTGTTAAATTCTTTTATCCTTAATTACAATGTCAATGTATATCATTGTGACCAAAATTTATTGGTTTTTATCAAATATATATGTTAAGTCGTACCATTTTATTTTCACTTTTTATACAATAATACATAAAAGACAATCTACATTTGTTAATTATCTATAATAAAGTTATAAAGTTATTGAAAAACTCTTTTAAGTTGAAAAAAAACGGTTTAATTATATTTTAGTTTATTCTAGCAGTCTGTAGATGTTAAAAAACAAACAGTTTTTTTCTTTCAGACTGCAGACGTTTGGTCTACCTATTCTACTGCAGATATAGTCCACAGACTGTAGACATTTTGCCTCAGAAAAAACAAACAACACTTTAATATTGTTCAAACTTCAAAACAATCATTTATCTTCAATATTATTAATTCGAAACAGACACACATCTATTAAAATTATCTTTTAACTGATATACATAATAAAACTTTTAAATTAGAAATACAATTTTAATATAATGTTTAAATATAGTTTTAACTGCATTAAAATTCTCTAAATTTTTACATACTAGAGTTCAACATGTTTTTTAATTGCGTTTAAATTCTTTAGAATTTTACCTATTAGAACTCAACATATTTTTTTAACTAATATTATAATTTAAATTAAGTTAATTTTACTGGCAGCATATATTCAGAAATTTTTATAACTTTATAGTTTTAGAATTTTACCTATTAGAACTCAAACATGTATCATCAGTAAACTTTATATAGATTTGGGATGCTAATGTAATGTATAAAGATGTTTTTAAATAAGTTCTTATGTATATTTGTTAAGACTTACATGAAAGGAGTGCTTGAAAATATCTAAATATGGTTGTTAATTGAAAGTTTACATGTGAAAAATGAATATTAAAGAAAATATGTGAAACAAGAAATCTTCACAAAATGATAAGTATATTATTTTGAGACTATGTAAATCTATCCTAAATGGCTAAATGCATAATAATTGTTACATAAAAGTTATGATAGGCAGATGAAACAGTAAGAAAGGCAACTCAAAAAGAAACAATTTATTTGGAGCTAAAATAACGAAGTTATGCCATTTTGAAAAGGGTTATTTCTATAAAAGCCCTCAATTTTACAGAACATAGTTGGTTATGTCCCAAGTCCAAATTTATGTTCATTAATGCCTAACATTTAGGTAATTTTGCCACTTAGGGCTCTTTATCAGGTTAAGACGAGGTAGTCGGTCTCCTACTCACTTGGTCACCTTCTTAACAAAAACTTGATGGCTGCTCACCGACACCAACTTCAGGTGTCATCACCACCACCACCTTCAGGCTTGTCTCCGGCAACATCCCCACACATCACCAACGGTGTCTTCAACACCCTCTACGACTTCACCATTACAGTCACCCAAAAATCGCAGCTTTATTTTCTTGTGTAGCCCTAGCTGCCTGCATTCACGACCTCCGATGGTCATCATCTCCAACACTCTCTCTGCCTTCACCACCATCCCCTCGGACAATACCCTAGCATCCTCTATCAGATGAACCCCTATCCGCCTCTGTAACAAATCGTTATTTCAAACCTATGTAATAATGTAGGTCAATTTGTATTTCTTTTTAAATAATAAAGAGAAACTTTAGCATACTGTGTATATTTACATAATTGACCCTCAAAAATAAATTGTTAAACAATCTCGATTGGGATGAACCAAGTGATAGAGATTTTAACAAGGTTTCCAAAAACATAAAGAACACTAAAATCCGAGTTATGACGAAGAAGTTATGACCAATCGAAGATCCGCGACAAAACCGGCAAAACACTGTTCAGTGTAAAAAACTGAATTTTCAATAAAAGGTTTTTTAGCCTTAACAATCTAAATGAAAGTTGTAGTTTATGTTAAACCGAGAACTTTAATAAAAAGAACGTCAAAATCTGACT